TCTGTAACTGTCCCAAAGCTAATATCCTTCAACACTATCGTATTGCCCTGACTGTCCCACTACTGCCTACCATAAGGTGAGTCACTAACCACTATGTCACTACCTGTTTATTTGTAATAATTTAGATTTAATTCTTGTACGCTACCCAAAATTTGGTGGGTGGTAACTCACATTGTCCTTAAATCATATCAATATTGTCTCCACATCCCAAGTCATAGCATGTCCTGTGAGACACGAGTTAAACAAATGCGATATAACTAAGGTACTCAAACTATCCAACTTCATTCCTGCTAATAGTCCAAAAGGGCTAAAATCATGAGTAGGAAACAGTCTCCTTTCATCAGCGCTAATTGCTGTAATAGATGTGTTCTCGTATGATGTTCCTTTTTCACAAGTCTGACATGTCAAGTTGAACCTTCTTACCTATAAACCCTAACATGAAACATTAGAAGCACATCCAACCTCTTATGTCATTTATTGCCAAGTCTTCCACTCATTTATACACTCTGATTTTTGGATGTCCATCTCTCTTCACCCAATACTTCCTCCTCCTCTACTAAAATCAATTCTTTGGTTACTCATTTGTTATTCCCAGCAATACTATACTTCATTAACCCTATCAATTCTCTGACTCATGCAGTAACTGGACAAATTATCATATTCTGACTTCTCATTTTGTTTTCATATTATTTTATGTACATACAGAGGTTACCAAATGCTTCAGAAAGCTTCGAGCACACTATTTTATCATTTATTCTTTTGCCAACTTTGGATTCTGGTCACTCTGTAGTGTAGTGAAAAATGAAACATAAATATGAAAAAGATAATCTGAACTATAACAGATCTACTCAATGTAAGTTACCATATTTTACGGCATATAAGGCGCACCCCCCATTTTAGCAGGGAGTATTTAGGAAAAATAATGTGTATTTCCCTCCTGTATCCATTGTTTTCTTAAAACAATATATACAGTACCAGTAAATGTGAGGAATAAATAAGTTACAACAAAAAATACTCTATTGCCAAACCAGTAAATAAAAGCCAAATGAAAGTTTAACACGGTCGCCATTTGCATGTACTGTACATCTGTACTACGTTTACCATAGCAATGGCCATGCTACCTCCGCCAATTCCATAGCAACACTCCCCCACTAGCCAGCCAACTTGTGTTCAAAGAAATGTAATACAGTATATTCCTTTTATGTGTTTGCCCTTAGGACAATTATTTCTCGTAGTGTACTTTTTCACAATACGTATGTATATAGGATGGTGTGTGCATGTTTATCAGTAAAAATAAATGAAGTTACGTATATCTACCCGAAAATGCAAGTTGAAAAACAACAGCTTAACCCAGTAGCCTGGTTACAGAGACATGTCTAACCTGGCGGTTTTGACCATTCGCGGTTTTTTTACTCAAAAATTATACATGTATAAAATATCCTTTAAAAACAAAAATTTTAATTTCGCGCCATTTTCAATATTCCCGTGTGGTGCAGCAAATAGACGCCACCCTTTCCCGCTGCTCCGAGAAGCCTCAGTCCACACATGCCTACCGTACTGTGAATGCTACCGTGATTACCTCTTCTGTTTGTCCTCCCATGTGCATTCCACATGGCTCCGGGACGTAAGCCAGCCTCATCAAAGGCAAATATTACTAACAAAGACTCTAGAGTGACCAAGAGATCAAGAATAGTGATGACCTTAACAGAAAATAGTTTTATTGGACAAGCTCAGAGGTGGTATGAGCTATTGCTCGAGATGTGGTGAAGACTGACAATTTACATGTGTCTTTTTGTCAGAATACAAGTCTTCAAGTAGAGGAATGTGGGTGGAAGAGGACCGGCTGGCTGGCGTGACTGCGGGCAGACGCCGGGACAGTAGGGAGAGGTTGGCAATGCAGGTGTTGCCGACCTCAGCGAAATATAAATTTTTTTATTTACTTGTAATTAAATTTTTTTTGTATATAACTGTGTTTACGTTTTTCCATTATTATACTACAATATGATTAGTTTCAAATAATGATGTTAGTAAATACCGGTACAGTGCATCAGTGATCAGTGTGACCACTGGGCCATGAGTGGAGAGCATGGCATGGTAAAGTGCATGACCTACCTGAGCTGTTTGGTGGCCACAGGTACAGTAATTCCTAAAAGAGTATTCGCGGTTTTGGCTTTTTGCGGGGGTTTCAGGAACGTAATTCCTGCGAAAAATACGGGATTACTGTATCTGTAAATCTTCATTCGTATCAGGTATTTGTAGATTGAAAAATAAATGTTGCAGGTATGGCATTAATAGATTGCAATGCTTGCAAGAGTTCAGAAATGGTTACTGCTTAGCTACCTTTGAAGAGGTGGTGTCTGCCGTACAAATGTTAATCGTCTCAGGTTATCGTCATCAGTACAGTACATAGTTATAGACCGACATTTTATATTTTCATTAATTATTTTTTAATTTATTAATAATAATAATGTGCTTAAGTAAGCAATAAAATATTTTCAATTCCGGAGTTGGGTGAGGTAGAATTTAGCGGGAGACTGCAACTTCACATAAAGGACGCAGGCTGATATTTTTTAGCCTTTTTCAAACAAAAAAGTGTCTTATATGCCATAAAATATGGTAGATGCAATTTCAGGAAATTAAATGGATGAATTAATCTTGTATTAAATATTTTTACATATATTTTAAACAACTGCCATACAAAGAAAGAATCCCTCTCTCCAATGTTACAGGCTTAAACTTGAACCACAAAAGTTTTTTAAGAGTTAACAAGCAATATAAAAATATGTCACAATATCTCTATAGCTGAAAATTACTTTAAGGCCCAATCAACAAAGTACAAAACTTATTCATGCAAGCATATTGTATAAGTAATAATTATCATTGGTCAATCAGTTTCCCTAATATCGGAAATATATAACATCAAAATAATATTAGGATAAAAGTAAACGTGCAAATCATTATTTACCGTACAATATTTTAAAGCATCAGTTTACCGGAAGTGGCACCAAAAGAGATTGCTTTGAGTTTCAAAGGTTAAACTAACAAAAGGGCCGCAGGTTCCAAAACATTAGTACACCTACTGTATTATGAAAAATTTGATTAAGACACAAAACACTCATCTGACCTAGCACACACCTCAGAACTTGATGCACAGGGTTTGTCACCCTCATCCACCAGTGACAGTGTATTCCAAAACAGCCCTTCAACTCACAACAATATGCTGTGTCTCTCTACCTACACTTATGACCTTAAAAGAGTTTTGGAACCTAAAAATTCACCACTCAGAAATGGTCTTAAAGGGAAGAAATGTGCTCACTCATGTATGTCAAGCTCTCCGAGTTATAAGCTGCATATTCAAGACCAGACAAAAACATGAGTAAGATTGTCTTTTGTATATTCAAAATAAAAGCATCTGCTACAAAGCAAAGTCTGACACAGGGCAACACAGCTAGCAGGCACTTTAGCACTCCAGTATACTGCCATATATCTAATTCAATGCAAACAAGTGCCACAAGTGTTGACATAGTAAGGTAGAATTGTTATTTGCCCGAGGTGATCTGGGGAAAATTGGTCAACAAGATTGCAGGGGGGTAGTGGGGGGTGCAGGGGGTAGTGGGGGTGCAGGGGGTAGTGGGGGGGTGCAGAGGGGTAGTGGGGGTGCAGGGGGTAGTGGGGGGGTGCAGGGGGTAGTTGGGGTGCAGGGGGTAGTTGGGGGTGCAGGGGAGGTAGTGGGGTGCAGGGGGGTAGTTGGGGGTGCAGGGGGTAGTTGGGGGTGCAGGGGGGTAGTGGGGGTGCAGGAGGGGTTACTCCTGGGACCTAGAAAAAGACATTCCTGAGAAAAAAGAAAAAAAAGTCTTGGTAAACATTTTTTCCCCCAGATCATCTTTGATTCTACCTTACTAACAGGTCAGATATATTGATCGACTGACTCTTAAGTCTAAACCTTGTACCGCTCATCACGGTAAAACTTGCATATATAATCGATTATACCATTATGTCATTTTATCTTGCCTGCATTTTTAGAATGCGGATTTGTTTACACAACAGTGAGTAAATGTTCATGCAAAATGATATAATGTCATCTTCCTTACTCTATGCACATCACCCAAACTAGTATTGTACTTCCACCTTCTGCACATCCAGTTTGGAAATGGGCTTAATAAATATTCTAAATGTTGATACTCATTTCCCAATAACCTTATCAATGTTAATAATCACAGCTTTCAGTAACTAACAACTATGAAATGCTTTGCATTTCATCATGTTTTAATATGAGCAAACTCCAGACACCTTTCACAGAATGCATTATTTCAATGGACGTTTAAACCTCAAAGTTTTTCCACTAGGACTAAAGGAAACTGAATCCAATTCTAATTACATTCAAGATGAGACATGAAGGGGGTGAATGAATATAGTCTGAAAGAGATTCATACATGCTGGTTATCTTTAAATTGGTATAAATTATTCTCATCTAAAAAAATATAAAGTCTCTGCTGATACAGTAATGCCCATCTTCAACTTCACCTGGGGAACAAAGGACGATTGTTGCTATACACTCATGTGCTATCTTTTCAAGAAATTTTCTTTTACAGCTGTTATAAATTTGTCTGAACCCAGCATATTTGGGGATTGGGGAACAATTTCATACTGCAGCTTTAAGTATACAAATGTAATTAAATGCTGTCCTTTCAATACACTTCATTTATAAAAGTTATAAATAAATCCTTTTCTATACACAACATGTAATACAAACACTCCACTATATCTTCGGTGCCTTGGAGGCTTCACCAACAGTTCTCAGTTGGGCCCCTTGCCTTCTTTTCTTCAGAAATAAACTCATTACTCACATGCACACTGGGGACACCTCAGACACTAGACATGTCCACACCGATTATGTCCACCACCACAAAAAACCTTGGATGTTTTGCCACAAGATGAATTTTGTGTGTGTGTGTGTGTGTGTGTGTGTGTGTGTGTGTGTGTGTGTGCATGCATGTGTGTGTGTGTGTGTGTGTGTGTGTGTGTGTGTGTGTGTGTGTGTGAGCACAAACTAAACAATCAAGCTTGACCAATCACTTTGCCTTTTTAATGCTCTCAGCACTGAACTCCAATGCCTTGGAGTACTTCCTGTTCGTGAGGATTAAGGTGTGGTATAAAGACGGGGAATGCCGGGTGCTGAGCAAAGGTGCTGATGAAGGTGGTCAGGTACTGCTGAAGATCCAAACTATACAGGGGGTCACTCACCTGGTGGAAAATTTACAAATGATGATGCTAGTTTCACTTACTACATTAAATATATGTGTATAAAATCAATAAAATTTTAATGTTTAACAAACAAAATACACAGTAGTATTTGATGAAACAATATTAATTTTTAATCCTCCCTGTGTTTTAGAAAAGAACCTGTTAAATGGAAGCTCTGGCACAGGATGGATGGATGGAGATGCCACAAGCTCACTTGGCTAACAGAAAATCAAATTATTGGCACAATTTGACACAAAACTATTTAAACCTTGGGTTGATGCAGTGATTGGTATCACTTATCATGATCATAATCACTTTAAGGCCATCTTCCACTCTTATGTGAGTTAGCCATGTTTACCTGATGGCAGCTCTCCAAGCTGCTCGGTCTCTTGAAGCCTATCTCCTAGCTGCCATCAGGCAACTTTGAAGGAAGTTTTATGGTTGGATGCCCTTCCTATTGCCTACCTACTTTTACAGAGTGGGAACTGGCCATTATATGTACAGTATGTAGGACTTCCAAGTGCCTTCATAGCTGGCAAGGCAGGGTCTCTACTCCCTGAGGTAATCAAAGATTACTGTACTTGCTTACCATAAATCTATTACTTTCACTTTTACGTTGCAGAAGTACATCAACACCTTATTGGTTCTTATTAATTTACTGTACTGTACTTAATGTCAGCTTGGTTGGATGTACAATAGTTGACATATACAGTACAGTCATATCTTTTCTGGCTATTGTTTATTTACTAGGAGCTACCAATAATCTTTTTAAGTGTTTTCTTTATTGTAAGTACTATAGTGTATCATAATGGTTTTCATTCCATTTGTATAATACCTACATTATTAATTTTCAAAAACTTTGAAAATAAAATGCATTTCTGACATGCTTAAACAAATAGCTTGCACACAAAATTAGTTAAATTTGGAGATGAAAGTCCAGTACAGGAATTTCAAAGATGATAAATAAATTGTATAGGGGGGTACAAGATTACAAGTTTTGTTAACCATTTAGATGCCTCTTAAAGAATACAGTATAACAGAGGCATACACCGAGACAGCCTACCAAGATGAGTAAACTATTGGTCAAGTGGTGCATTTACTCAGCCTCCACCAAACACATAAATTGCAACCACCTCACTTAGTGATTTCACTGACTTGCCACTTATTGTATCATAGCTTGTGCAACTGTACTGTTGGAATCTTACACCAAGTTATATCTACCAGAAGGATTAAAACTCTTATACTGTGCAAACCTGGATCAACTACAGTGGGGTATGCTATAACGAATGGATTCTACTACGAATATTCCTATAACAAACGGTTTTACCTATAAAATTGAGAATGCTATAACGAACGAAACTCCTACAACGAACATTTTCTTTTTACTAATGTGTTTGTTTTTTTATTACAAGTATTAATGATATTCTTTATTTCAGGGGTTTAGATGCATATAATGCACTTTTTTAAAATGTTTACAATCTTATATTATATTTTTCAGTGTTAAGTGGTTGTATTTGGGGGCCTGGAACGGATTAATCCTATAACGAACAAGGTTCTAGAACCAATTAGATTCGTTATAGCATACCCCACTGTACAGTAAACCCTTGTTATTCGCAGGGGTTAGGTTCCAAGGAATGGCACCAATAGGCAAAACTGCAAATAGCAACTTATACTACCTTAGTGGACTACTGTATACCTATACCAAATAACCGACTATAGTGCGTTTTTTCTCAGCTGAGAAAATACCCCCCCTCTCTCTCTCAAGAGTTACAGCCATTTTCTGCACTTTCATGGTTTACTCAAAATAACTTCTTGGTAACTCTCCATGCCTCTCTCATCAATTTCTTGACTCTGTAAGCATACCCCTAACTCTTCTCCCTTCTACATAGAAACTACAGGTAATGCATCTTATGATCTAACTAGTTTCCTCCATTTTTTCCACATGTCCAAACCATCTTAGCCAACCTCTATGGAAAACTTCATCCATACTTTATTTTGCTTCATTAGCTTCGAACAGGGTTTCCTATCTTTCGATGTAACAATTCACATACACCTTGCCATTCTCATTTCAGCTTGCTTAAGCCTGCATATCCCATTATCTTCAACATGTTCACTGTCATACAACATCACACTTTTTATGCCAGTTACACACATCTTTCCATTCACACAGAGGGAAGGCCCTCTTGCCATCAATAAAGGCAGCAACTTACTCCAGTCACTTTTGACTCTTGCAACTGAACTAGCTTCAGCACTGATCATGCCACCCAGGTACCAGAACTCATCAACATAGTCCAGGAACATACCATGAATGTTGAGTTTCTCCAGCCTTCCTAAGGCCACTTGTCATTCTTAACAGCAATCAGCCTTCCTGAACCATCCTTCCATCTGCTTTCTTTACTGCAGACATCAGGTGCTCTACAAACAGCTCAATATATAAAAATTTCACTCGCTCACCTTCACATTAAACCAGCATGCTGACTTACAGCTCTAAACCCAAGTACGCCAGGTTCCTTCACTTTAATCGCAATAGTTTCCTTTGAGATACCACAGCCAATTGCAAATAATCCTCTGTTTAAGGCTACAATGCTAAATAAAAAAATTGATGGACAATGCTGTTGATACCACAATGATAATTTTTTTTTTTTTTTTAGTTTTTCCAAAGAAGACAAAAAAAAAACAATAAAGACTTACTGCATCTGGGTCATCCTCATCATCCACAGTGTCAGCATCATACCCAGGATAGCTGCTGGCAGGGGCAAACATTGAAGCAAGTGTGGAATCGCCATTAGCTTGGCCCTCCTCCTCATCATCTTCCCAACATTCATCTTCTGACTCCTGCTATGAGAAAACAATATGCAATTTAAATTAACTTTAAATGGTTGACTGTGCAAGAAATTTTTGGTATCAAAACAGCTTTGACAGTTATTTAGGTTGCAGTTATTAATAAATACAAATTAAACTCACATTTATACAAAATGATGTAGAGAAAAATAAACAATAGATATTAATTTTAAAGTGTTATCTCCGTTAGCCGGAACAGTTGATACAGAGCACTTCCGGAAATAATATTTCCGGGTAACAAGAGGACTCTCTCAAAGCCCAAAAATTAAAAAATTCCTTCCATCCTCGGAATTTTCCAGGAAACGGAAAAATGTTCTCAGAAGTTCCAGATATTGCCCATTACATCATCTCTCATACCCAGAAAACTATCCTCCATCCCTGGAATTTTCCATGTATCGGGAAAATTTTCTCTGAATGTTCCAGAAAATTTGCCCCTTGGAAAACTGCTCCCAAAGCAGTAATTTTCCGGCTTTAGGAACGACTTCTGATAAAATTTCAATTCTGGCTGTCAGAAAGTTCTGGGTTTGAGGGATTCCGGCTAATGGAGATATTACAAATTAATATAAAATATTTATTTAGTTGCTTTACTTCTCTATCCACCTGGGTGGTGGTAGTGTAAGATCAACCCCCTGAAGCAGGTCACATGAATGACCTCCCACCTCAGCAGAAAACAAGAGTTCACAAAGTAGATTTAGTACAGTATTTCCATCTTTAAACTGGGTAACATAGAGAATAATAAAGTAGGAAAGTTGTGAAAAGTATGTATATTGTACTGCACAATACTGCATTTCCAAAGAAAAAAAAATTTGCAACCACAATCAAATTCTTAGTTAATATATGGTCTTTGGATATTTCAGGGGATGGAAGGGCTAAAACATGGTCAAGTGGGTAACTAGTAATATAAATTTTACTTTCCTTAGCCTAACAAATTGCAATGGGATGTATTTTCTTATAATTTACCACTACTCTCTCATTCAACATAAAAAAAATATATATAAATTAATACTAAAGTCACTCTTGGCAACCTCATTCTCTGGTACATTGCTAGAACAAGTCTCACTTGATTAACAAAGATCACTTTATAATAATACTACAAATACATTATGAAAAAGAACAAAAATATAGATAAAATCAGAAAATAATGTTTAATGAAAACCAGTGTATAATTTGATAGGCAAACGATATTCCAACAGTAGATGAAGGAAAAAAGAACTACAGTATAGTATTTCCACGCTAATCTGGCCCTTAAGACATGCCCTTTTTCTATACTAATACCTGAATGGTTCATTAAAAATTCAAACTAAATGTGTTTACATTGGCATGCAGACCTGTCAACTAAAATAATGTTAAATAATTATCTGAATTATCAAAATGAAATGATTTCAAGGCATTAACACTTTAGAGAGGATGTTAGAAATTTTAAATATTTATCATAAAAGGTCGATATAAATACAAGCTTGTACACGCGCAGTCCAGGGGTAGGTAAGATGCTCAGGGGAACCAATCAGCTATTTCTAGCTATAGACGGGGCCATGGCTTACGGGCCAGGTTACAGTGGAAAGGGATTAATAGGTGAGCAAAGATATGGATGAAGAGACCCTCCCAGAAGTTCAGGTCTAGACCAAATGAACAGATGCTCAAACTATTCTGCTAGACCAACACTGAAAAAATGACCCAACTTACACCAGTATCAATTTATGTGAACGTACTTAAAAAAAAAAAAATAAAAAAAAAATAAAAAAAAAAAAGAAAGAGAAATTCAAGTACCTCATCATCATCCTTTGTCATGTTTGAGTCAATTGCATTGGCAAGTTCATTGATAAGGAGTTTGAAGATCTTTACCAACACAGGCACTTGTGTCCACTGCTCTGGTCGTGTTACACGCTGTGACCGAGTACGCACCCGTCCCTCAGGTGAGAAAACCTGAGCCATGAAAGTTTATACAGATTAACAAGATGCAATAAAAGTTTTAACATTAATATGGCTTCACATTAAAAATTATTTTAGTCTAAATATGGCAAAAAAATAAAATAAATAAATAAATAAATTCATGCATATATGAGTGCAATAGTTCAGTAATCTCAGATATCCGTTAAAGGTGTTGACCGCTATACATACCATGGATCTATACATGATCAATCAGTTTTACGAAGTTAAAATATTAACACCATTTATTGTTGTGTGGTACCTAAGATCAGTTTTATGGTGGACGCTACCCGAATGTTTTCCTGCATTGTCACTGCTATGAAGAAAGTGCTGTTCATTAACTAGCAATACTCCAAGATATGATGACGCAATTTCGGGATGGCATAACACGTGCAACCCACATGGGAGGCTCTGCCCGTCCCCAGTGACTGTCAGGCTGAACAGTTGAACTGTATCACATCGCCCCGAGGATGGTTTGCGTGTGGAAGAAGCTATCCTTTGTACAGAACATGAAATAATATACCTGTATTGTATACCGTATTGTACCAGTAAATGTGGGGAATAAATAAAAATACTAATAAATAAAATAAAAGAATAAAATATGGTCACCATTTGGCAATCCTGTCACTATGCATGGGATATGAGTTAGTGAGCCGAGATCCCCCACGCTGCTCCCCCTCCACTGCTGTATGTGTCGACTCCCACACACATAAGAAATGTTTATTCCCTTATGTTTCTGACTTTACATGCACAGTATATAATTATTTGTTTCCACATTCTGTAGTGTGTGCATATAGGGGGGAAAAAATTACCCCTGGTACTTACAGTATATCTACCCAAAATTACGAGTAATAGCTCACATTAAGAAATTTTTATTCCTTTGTTTTTGAACTTCCGATAATTATTTTTTATATTATTTTTGCACATTTTGTATGACAGATTGCGTCTGTACGTACCAGAGCATTACAAAAAATTTAAATGTCTACTCCAGCTCTGATAAGTCCCATGCACACAAGAAATGTTTATTCCCTTATAATAAATTGTTTTTTGGCACATTTTATATGAAAGATTGTGTACATTTAACAGCAAACAAATAAATAAAAATAATAGTTAAAAAGGTTAAAAAAATAGCCACCTCTCTGAGCGATAATTTTGGCGCCTTAGGTTCTCGGGAACAGAACCTATTTTTCTCCTTAAGTTATTAATATAGACATACAATCGATCACCTTACAATGACTTTTCGAAGTCCCCAACCCCATTGTATAAGGGTCAACACCTATATATTAAATTTTCTTGAAATCAGCTCCTAGATAATAAGAAATATATTTTTCTAGACTTACTGTACAGTACAGTGTTTTATGTATTAACAAGATAAGTCAACTTATATAGTACTGTATCCCATAACTAGAAAACACTGATAGTAAATCACTTACCTGGTCTCCTTGAACTATGATATCTTGCAAGCGTGAATCATTCGCTGTTACACCATGCTCCAGTAGTTTTGCTAGAGCTACTGCACTCACCTGTAATTAAAGATTTTTAACACCCAAAAATTTATATTTCAAGTACTACACCTCTACATTCAACTGCCAATGACAGTCTTTACCCTATAACACAGGATGCAGGTTACACCCCATTACCCCCCCCCCTCCCCGAAAGAAAAAGAAAAAAAAAGAAGCTACAGGTATGCCCCGTAAACCATTGTCCCATTAACCGCCACTTCGCATAACCGACGATTATATATTAAGGAAATACCCCATAATTTTAACTGACTACCCCATTGATCCACCGATTGGAGGAGCGGCAGAGTGCTTGAGTTTGGCGCACAATTGACGTGGTACGAATTCTTGCGATGAGTATGCAAATTTATAATTTGTGAATTATCATGACTCTACACAGGGTTTCTCAACATGGGCCATACCATATTTCTGGGGGCTGCATAAGAGAACAGCGAGCCTTGGAGGGGGGCCACAGTACAGGTGATTTAGCCTATGAGAGGGGGGGGGGGGGGCACAGGGGTAAATGAGGCTCAAAAGGGGGCCATGAGCAGTTATAAACACGCTGTTTTCTAGTTTCAATGACAGTACGCAATGCATCCATAATGATTTTGTTATATTCCACTTGAATACGGTTCTTCAGTGCCTCAATTGTACGCAGACGGTCAGTGTAAGCAACTGATTTCAAATGGCCCCATGAGAAAAAGTCTAAAGGATTAAGGTCTGGTGACTTGTGGGGGCCATTCCACTGATCCACGTCGACTGATCCACTTTCCTAGTATCTGGGAATCTAACCACTCACATGTTATCAAAGCAAAATGTGCAGGAGCCCCATTCTATGATTCTGGACTTTAATTACACCCTGTAAAATCGTGCCTAAGTGCCCTGGCAATACTTCCTCTTCTGTTTAACCCATAAACGATGACTAGCATTGTAAATTAGAGTGTATATATATATATATATATATATATATATATATATATATATATATATATATATATATATATATATATATATATATATATATATATATATATATATATATATATATATATATATATATATTATTAATTTTTTCACAACCTTTCTTTTATAATCATTTTTTCCTAAATATGTATGCTTTATAACAGAAAAAGGTTCATATTACAATCACATGAAATAACAAAGGTATAAAGTGATGTACATTGAACATTTGAAATAAGCGTAAACAAAAATTTGATGTTCTACTCATGCTTACGTATAGAAATAATTATTTTATCGTGATTACTCGCATAAAAATGTTTGTAGATAATTTATTTACAATGCTAATACAACAAATCCTACATTATTATCTCAAATAGCAAGCTTGCTATGACTCATTACGTACAATTATCTCTCGTGTGGTGAGGTGAGAAACAGGCCAGACCCTGGGCGTCTCGCGTGAGAGCGCCTACCCAAACCCAAGTGTTAATATGTATCTTTTTGTCTTTATTCCAGTAAGTCAGCGACTGTACTTTTATTAAATAATTCTCACCTCCATTGCCATTTCTTCATTACTCTGCTAATATAAATAAAGTGAAGATTCAACAGCTATAATGACTATCAAGGGAAGGGAGAGTCAATGTAGTTCCTGATTCTGGCCAACTTGCACTAAAGTGGGATAAAGGCTGGAAAGGGTAAAGATATTATGCACAGTAAGCCCTCCTCCAATGCGAATTCACTTAACAAAGAAAAATAAATTCAACTAATGTATTTGCCAAACACGGAAAATTTAAATTTACGCAGTTCGTCAACAAGTTAATACAGCCTGGCTCCCTCTAGCATCTCCCGCGCTCTCTCTCTCAGCCTCAGTTTTGTGGAGGCTGCATCAGGCAGAGCTGTGCTGTTTATGTTTATATTTTTTGTTCTTTTTACTGTTTTGGGGGAAAACAAACCCTTAAACAGTTGGGCTCCTAAATATACATTATCTCCAAGTGACGGTGGAGCAAAGAAAAGCTATAAAGTGCTGACATTAGAAAAGAAAATTAAAAAGCAGTGTTAGCTTGCCCGCCTTGTATGTTGTTAACTTGTAATGAAACAGTTGTCGAAAAATCATATCCAATAATCTATTTATAAAATATAATATAAAGCCAAAAACAATGAAGAGCATGGGTGTGTATGCGTGTGGAGGCAGCTATAGCCAAGGCCTTTGCTAATAACATGGCCATCTCACCAGCCTCATATATTGTGACTTGTAATGAAACAATAAAAGTCATGGAAAAATCATTACAATACTCTAATGTGACTTAGAAATGAAAATATAATATGTATAAAACTATAAAATAAGAAAAATGAAGAGCATCAGTGTGTATATGTGGGAAGTGAACGTGTTGAGGCATTGGGTTATGGTTATATGTAACTGGCTGCACTCCCTCTCGATGTGACGTCACGGCATACACACAGCAAGCGTGCAGTGGCAGTCACATGTCTGAGTCAGCTGTTGAAAATTTATACAGTGATATTCCCCAATTCTTATTAATCTCCTTAACTATTAAGTACCTCAAACACGGATTCCCCCTAAAACGCTGTTTTCGAGGAACCTAACCCCGGCGTTGGAGGAAGGCTTGCTGTATATTATATAACCTACCTTTCCCTCATAAGCACCAAAGAAAAGATGCTGTTTAGAACACCACTGTGTGAGAACAAAATGAAGGGCAGACTGCCCCGAGGGTCCTGGAACGCCCGCTAGGAAAGTTAGAACACCGTCTAACTGTGAGTGGACCAGCTGAGCATACACAAGCACAAGGTTCTGAATCACAGTCAATGTCTCAGCACCCTGGAAAACACCAGAGCAAAAATTAATCATGATTTTTCATGAAGTAACTTATTGTACCTTACTATTATTCACATAAACTTTACTTAAAATTGGATATAAATGAATTAATACAAAATCAGCTAGACACCTATAAATCCTCTTGCTGAACCCAATATCACACACACACACACGCGCGCACACACATACACAAAAATCATTTAAGGCCCAAAGAAATTCACTTTCAAATAACTCATCAACTATGACATTACAATGTGAAGGTCTGTTATCCCTCCAAAATGCTTTCACCAAGCTCTAGATATTTTTTTTTATGGTAAATCAGAGAAGTAGATTTCACTAAGAGAGCAACCCAATGCAGGACATGATGGGTAAAACAACATGGTGTACCAACAGGACAAACACTATACCCCAGCATAAAAACTTTCAAAAGGCACTACATTCAACAATATTTACCCTTGAGAAAGAAAAGAACTGGATATAATTGATAATCTTACCTGCAGTTTACTTAAAACAGCTCTGAGCAGAAGATCTAAATTGTCCCCTAAGTGGTCACCAGCCCTCCGGATGAGAACAGTTATGAGCCGACCTACAAATGTTGCCGTATGTTCACTTGTGGCTGGTGACAAGAGCTGTGTGGCTACTTGAACTACGTACTGCAGACCCGACCGACCTTCAGCATCAAGATAGGCAATAACCTTGAAAAAAATCAAATTATTTTTAAGAAAAAGGGGCGTTAGATGTCACAGAAACATTTTATTCTACTATTTTCTATTAAGCCTTTACTGTCACTCTGCCTAACTTGTGACCAGTCATCTAGTATTTTCCTGATTTGCAAGCCATCCAGTGTCCTGACTAAAGGACGCAATATTTATTGTTTGTGAAAAAAAAAAAAATTTGCATTCCTGATTATTAAGATGTCCAGGTTCTCAAGATACAGATAATATGAAGGTCTCCTCAACCAGACTTCCCATAAATAATCTCCAAAAATATGTAATGAAAGTCCAACCTTTTCCCAGAAGTTTCTTTGTTTCTAGTTCCTCGTGAAAGATTTTTGCCAGTTAGAATGATAATATTGATTTTTTTTGTGGTGTTCTAGTCTCCCACAACCTATGAATACATGGCTTTACATTGATCTGTTATTCAAGGACTCAAAGCAAGCTATGAGTGATTGCAACCTTTTTTTTGCTATGTCCCATCAGGCTCTCCACCTGTTGTCATTCAAACTTAAGAAAACTCACTCTCTCTTTTTCTATCCACTCATATTCTGCGGTGCATGAAATTGCTGTTAAACCAAACCTAAAGTGTCAATCAAATTTTCTGGAAAAAAAATTAGATTAAAAGAAAGTTCTGTAATAATAATAGCTGCCCCTCGTGTAACGAGGATGGCCGGCCCAAGGGCCACCTACCAAGGCGTAAATTTGTTCAAGGTGTAAAAGCTGTCACCAGCACAACAACCAAACCCTCATATTTAATTACCTATTGCATTCCCATAAATAGTCCAACCTTCTCCACTAAAGGCCTTGCCTCAACTTTGTGCAGAATATGTAAGCTTGTAAATTTAATGCCGTTAATCTGGCATCCGCCGATGGGCGGAACTAACCGAGCAGCTGGGTTGCCACTCCTTCAAGTACCCAGGCTCTCCTCCTTGTCTGTCCTCCAGATTCTGACTTTAGCAGATGTCTGTCTGTGCCTCTCTCTCCTTTTTATGAGCCATGTGGCTTAAATTTTGTCCTTTTCCTGTCCTAGGGAATGTTAGGTAGGAAGTGCATTTATATTATGTCTTGTACCTTTTATTTGTAAAGAATATGTAAATAAGGTAGATTTACCAAAGTTTCAGTTGGACCTTTTCACCCAAGATTTTATTCTTTGGCCATGACCAAGTGTTTCAGAACACCTAAAGAGTATTTCTTAAAGTCTACCCTACTTAAAGCTAGCCATAACAGTATATCACTGTTGTCCAACACTGTCTTTTGAGGTAAGCTTGAGCGAGACACTGGGTTGTGATACAAGATAAACCCATCTACTTAAAAGAAAAAATCATAGGAAACAGAGTACCAGTTTTATGCATACCTGATCAGGAGCGACAGATATATATGCTCTAAGACACTCTCCACCGTTTTGTAAAGTAGAATTATCATCTGTGTTCAGTGTTCTTTGTACTACAGCTGGGAAAGCTACATTAATGAGAGGCTCTTCAAGGGGAGGAGTTGAGGATCGCACCATTACTTCAAGCATGTCTAGGGCCACAGCTTGCATACCCGGCGGTACCTGTAAACCAAAATTTCCAATTAGAAAAAAAAAATCAATGATTAACATAAAAAATGAGACAAGTCTAACTTTATATCTGCAACATAACTCTAGCAAGATAAAAGAGGTACAATGTTCAATCTAGATATACTGACTAGGAGTGTCAACCTCATATGTTTCTTGGTTTTGAAAATCTGAAGGTTTAAAGTTACATAACAATGTTAAAAATTATTCTTTTGGGAGTTTACACCTCACTTAAAAGAGTGCATGGTGATACAGTATTAAGCTAGGAATCCATATGAGGCAGAAAAACAAACTGTCCCGGTAGCACAATATTTTTTAAGGCTGAGAGCCATATTAGTGAAGGTAGGTAAAAGTGTCTCTACAGCGAGTGATCTGCACCTCAAGGCGGACTGAGGGAGATTTGCTATTAAACATCCTGGGTTTGTATAAGACCAAGTGTAAGTCAAAGAAAAAATGGACAAGGAAACCTAGATGGTGGGTTCATAGATTGCTGCTGAATCGAACCAAATGTGGAGCCTACAATACTCTGGTACAAGACCTAAGCTTGGATGAAGAAAAATTCAGAGAATATGTTCACCTGAGCAGACAACAGTTTGTGCATGTTCTTTACCTGGTTGAGGAGGATTTGATGGAACACTGCAGGAACAGAAAAGTCATTTGCTCAAGGCAGCAACTTGCAATATGTATAAGGTAAGTCAGGCTTATAAATAGGAAATAATTGGAACTGTAGATAAATATTAAGTGACACAAAAATTTGTATGCCAGTGATCCTTTTATTGAGACCATGATATATTCTGAATGAAATGATGAAACCATTGCTACGTTTCAAAGAATACTGAAGATAAGTGCAGTATAAAACGAAATTATTTTGTTTGTCACATAAAGACACTGGTGTTGCCAAACAAGTTCAATCAACTTCTCAGTCTCCTCGACAGAAAACCGTTTTTTCCTCGTGGCATTTTGCTGGGTGAGGAGAGCAAACACAAGGATAGTGACGTCAGTGTGGGATTCCCTCGTCCATGTCTATGCAGTTGCATCTTCAATCTCTACAGGGAGCGATTGACATGTACAGCAAACGCATGACGTTAAAGCAGCCGTGCCAATGTAAACAACCATGTACATTTCAGTACGATCTATTTTTGCCACTAATGCTACTGCATGAATGGAATCCTAACTTTACACAGTAAAGCCTTGTTAATTCAAACTCAGCTAGTATGTACTTTGCCTAATTTCATCAAATTTCAAGTTTGAACAGGTTATCTATATTTCAAACCAATTGTCTAGCTTTGATTTATATCATCTTGATTCAAACCAACTAAATTCGCACCAAAATTCCAGCCACAGCGCTGCCACTCACAGGAAGTCAATTGGTATTTGCTGCATTAAACATCATTTGTCAGTCATTCTCTGTATACATTAAGACCCCCTTAAGTCGGAAACCCCTATTAGTCGGACAAGGGTCTGTGAGTGACTTATGTGGGCCGTGTCGGTGTCAACTGTCGGACGCGGTGACGCATGGAGGGAGGGGTGATGCTGCCTCAGTTGCTGCCAGTCTCTTGTCACGAGTGCATCCCCGCTACCCTCTGCCTTTCCCTCTTTCCGTGCTTCCCTAGTGAACTATTATGGTGACATTTATGGGGTTTTTTTTTATTGATGTTTAGATGCCTACAATTTTAAGTTTGAATGTTATAGTATGCAGTTAAAGCTACTAATAGGGGTGAATCTAGTGATCTAAACACAGCTTCACAGCCAGCTGCCATGACATCACAGGAGGAACTGCATGGCACTGTACATTGTATTGCCAGACTATATTTACAAGACTACAGTACTGTACTGAGAATTATTCAGCCTTGGTTATCAAGGAACCCATCCAATCTTATCCTAATGTTTACATTTATGGACAAAATATATGATATATTTTTTCATTAACCAGGGGTTCTCACAACATACCTTAAGCATTAATGGAGGATTAATCTAAAACATTTCATTACTAAGAATGTACAGCTTTTCAAATTTGTGGAATTTTAAGTACAATCCAGTAATAAAATCCCCTATTTCGAAAACTGTATCTGCTATTTCGAACTCCTTTCCCCTCTTTTAGTTCGTAATAATGAGGTTCTACTGTACTTCACCTTTTCATTTACTTTTCAACAGCTCTCACATATGTAATTGACATATATTTACCTATGGTAATGAAAGTGAAATGGAAAAATTTAGAGAATATTGATTGATGACTACTTATTGACAGACTAAGGAAGGACTGTTGAACCTTACTAGTTTCAATGGAAAAATTGAAGCTCAAGATACATTATATAAAAAATATTTTCAAATTATTCACCTAAGTAGAATGATCACAAACCTAGAATTTTAGCACAAGAAAGACTGAGGTGCAATTTCCATTAAAATCGATTAATGAAACATCACCAATTCAAACACAAAACTAACCTTATCTGTTGATGCATTGAGTATTGATGCTAGAGTGGGGATAAATTTTGTCTGAAGCGTAGTGATGCAGCCCGGGTTGGCACATAGTTCCCGCACGACATCTTGCACAAGTGCTACTAGTACCGGGTCATTATTGGCTTTTATAAATACTGCTAAACAAAGGGTAGATATCCTGCCCACATTTGCAGCCGTGAAGTTTGAGTCGACCGAGACAACTATACAGCATGTCTCCAAAATTAGGGAGAGAACTTCTGATGATGCTTGGGTGGCTAAGGTAACTAGTCCATCAAGAATGGAAGGAAGATATGGCTGTAGTGCTCCTGGACTGCCACTACCCTTTAAATATTCACAGAAACCCCACACTGACCTGTAATGAATAAAATATTTTAGGTTGTCAACAAATGACACTATTTGCATTTTTCCACTATCTACCAAAAAATTTCCACACCTGAATGATTTGACCATATCAACATAATCAGTTCACATATAAATTTATGTTTTTAACATGTTAATATACAGTAATGTGCATAATGAATGGGTAAGAAGTATAATGTGAATCAATAAAGGATTCACTTTGTAATCTACCTGGGAAATTTGATGATGCAAGGATGTGTGTAAAGAATACAATATTTCTTATTGTTTTAGCCCTTTCTGTCAAATTTCTATAATTGTCTTACATCACTCTCTTTATTTCCCACTTTAATCTACCATAAATAAAAGTTGGATACAAGTACATGTAAAACAATAGTTGGAATATTCCATACTTTAACTGGTTTGCCTCATGCAAAACCTACATTGAAGTCACAAAACATGAAAATTTACCACTTATTGGCACTCCTCTAACACAAACTGCATAAGTTGGTCAAGATTCATCACCATAATGAAGGAGGTGGTTGTATCTGATGCAAAAAGCCTCACAAACCTTAATATATGAAATGGTAAATAGTAACAATATAAATTACAATTGCTGAAGAAATCTGACAATCAGTAGTTTACAATGAACACTCCGAAACATTCCTCCCTCAACTACCTAGTTTCAATAATTTCTGCCATCTTAGATCAGGTAATATTTATATGATTTCCATTTACCTGTACCTGCATTCAGTCTACAACTTTATTTTACCACCTATGCATGATGTTCCTCATAATAGAATTTACCTATGTATGTACAGTTGTGGACAAAAAGAATTTGATAGGGAAGGAGGAGACTTGGCACTGGTGCATACAGGTGGTGATTAAAATCTGTAATTTTCCTTTCACACAACAATTCTTTTTTTTTTTTATAATCATGAGGCAGGTCCAGCTTAAATGAATAATGTGTTGTAACAACTCAATACACTAAATCAACCACAAAAATTTTATTAAAAGTTCAATGTTTCAGGAGACTTTTCACCAACACCCTAATGCGATATTCCCCAGTCTCCACATACATCCCCACCCTCCTTGCCAAATTCTTTTCGTCTACAACTGTACCTATGTATGTATTATTAAAGAGGATGTCATAAGTAGACTTGAGGAAGCTGAAGTGAGAATGGTAAGGTGAATGTGCAATATAACACTAGGAGATAGGAGGCCCTGTTCAGAACTATGAGCCTTGACCCCCTGGGGGACACATGCCCTACAGCCCTGACCTCCTGGGGGACACACACACGCATGCCCTATAGCCCTGACCACCTTGAGGACAAATACTCCCTACTGAGTTGCCTATACAACTATGAAATACGGCATGGGTTATAGAGTAAATTGTGATCATCAGCAAGTATAAAATAATTATAGAAACTCAGTTACATTGAAAAATGCTTAGCCCCTCCCCTGCCACTGGATCAAGTGGATAGGGGCATATTATAATGCTTCTAATAGTGGAGTTGTATGATGTCATTGATCTTTGGTCAATGAAATACTAAAGAATGAAATGGAAAACAAGCAATACTCAGCCAATGAGAAATAGAGTATATGATGTAATGCATGAACATGTAAAGTGCGGCCATTATACTCAATACTGTATACTGGCTCATCGTCCTCACACGACAGACCCATCGACCCTAGAGGGTCAATTATTGTTATTTATTGTAAAACATTTCTCTCATGGTCATATACCCCCAAAAATATTTCTCAACAGATCTACGCAATTCACGTGGATCTCCTAAAATGATGGGAAAAACAGAAAATCGGAGACATCACATCCCCGAATTTACAACCCTCACCCCAAAAATCTTTGCCCTGACAGCTTTCTGAACTTGTGGCTTCTTCCATCTTAAGCTGTAACCCCGAGTGGAGCAGGCATCCACCAGTTCCAGGTATGAACACTTGACTGAACAATGCCCTCTGAGGAGTTTATAGATTTCTATTAGGCTCCCTTTACCTGCCTATAGCATAAGTAAAGCTAATCAACTGTATGCATTCTAATATCTCTTGGGTAACTGAGGTGTCACAGTGCCATATATAGTCTGGTGGCCCTCCTTTGGACATTTTCAATTAACTGACAGTTTAGCATATTCCAGGGACCAGAAAGATGACAGTACTCCAAATGGAGTTGCACCTCATTTTGAAAAACAGTATGTGAATGCCCTTCTTATAAGACCTACTATCTTAGTTGCTTGATTTAACTTTTCATATGTAGTCTGAAAACTTGAGTTCATTGCCAATACACACACCCATTCACTTGTCCTTTTCACAACTGGTCTAGTTAATGATGTTTCCTCTTCATGCTGGGACATGTGATATGCCTCCTTGCCATTGGTATATGTGCCTTGATAGTCCTTCAAGATGGCAGAGAAATCTTTTAAACATCCATACTGGCTGTTATGTTTGCCAGGTACCTATCTCATGCCTGGTGCTGATCTTGAATGCACTGAGCTCCACTACTTTTGGGTTGCACAAGAGGCACTGCAATTTTGCTGAATTTCCCATTATGGTTTTCAGTGAATTTCATGGGCATGCCCATTTAAATATGGCCACAGATGATTTTTCAAGGTAGACATGGCCATGGTGGGATGAAGCTCACAGGTCAACACAAGACTGGAATGGCTGCTTTACATTCCTACTCCATATCGCAGGAGACCTCGCTGCTTGTGATTGATCTGCTTAAGAGTAGCCACACTCTTACTGGTCAGTTGTTGTAAACAAGAGCCATCACAATGAAAACAAGAAAGGTTTTCTCCATCATCTTTTAAAAGAAATGTAGTGTAAATGTAGATATTTTCTTCTTAATTTTACTTAAGTAGAAGTAACGAGTAGAATATTTTTTTTAGTATTTAAGAAAATTTATATCTCACCTAACTCCAGAAACTTTAATAATAGGGTTGGGACTGTGGTTGAGGGCCGATACTGTAGCCTGAAGGAATCTGTCAAGCATGTCAGGAGTAACAGCCTGCCCAAATCTGCTGCCACACCAAAGAGCTCGCCCAGCCAAGAAAGGAGAAACTGTAAGAGAAATTACAAATGTGATCATAATAAACATAAATATTTCCTCATTATATTGTACAGTATATGAAATATGTACCATCAACTTTAAATACAAGAAAGCAATCCTCAAAAACAATCAGTACTGTAATCAGAATCTTATACATGAAAGGTCCCTCAGGCTCAAAAGGCTATTCATTTAGTTTTGAGAATATCAGGGCTAAGAAAATTTATATGTTCATATTTATGAATGACATAACTGTATGTGAACTTCACCTTACATTAACACAAGCTTAACAGAGTGACAAACAAAATGTTTAAAAAATTAATTGAAATCACTTTGTCATTTCAGGAATACATGAAGTAAAATTCCATAATTCAAAAAGATATCCCATAGTGCGACATACGGGAAAGATGAAAAACACAATGCGTACCTTTGCTTGATAGAAAATAAACCATGGGATACGAACAATGTTAAACATATATTAAAGGTGTTATTTGCATCTAAGGTAATTCACACCAGCAGTCAAGTAAAATTTCTGTAATACTTGCACGTAGGACAAGTGGCTTTTCCATAAGTTTTTAGGCCCTAAACCTGAACACTGAAATTTAAAATATTCCAGCAAAAATAATACAATCATGTAATAAGTACTGTACTATATATGTGACAATTATATAAGCAAGACCTAGAGTCACTTACAGTTAGGATCAAGGTCAGTCAATACAACAGACTGGATGAAATTGGTGAGATCAAACTGCAAATGCCCCTTGGCCACCTGATCAAGAATCAGGTCACGGACGGATCCCATTGCCAACATGACTGCCTCATGGGTCTTCCACCATGCTGGGTCACCTGCTGTTCGTTGGCTAGCTGCTCGTTCTAAGTGTCTTCCAACAGCAACTATCAAACCCTGACCACACTCTTCAGGCAGTTCTTGACATAAGGCCTGTGAACAATGTAAAGATAATTATATCAAATTGGTTGAACTTATGCAACCACACACAGAAAAGAAATCTTAAAGGAATAGCAGAAAGCAAATTACCTGTATTATGGTTTTATTCATTATAATTAACGAATGGCAAAATTATAACCCCCCCAAAAAGAAACACAATTTGCCTTAGGTTTTTTAATTGCCAGCCCTGATCTCTCTTCACTTACCAACAGCAGATCCTGAGCTGAGATTCTCACAGAGTATGCAAAGCTGTCTTCATCTTCATCTTCCACAAAAGCATCAGGATTGTTGCTCCAATTTTCAATCTGATGACAAACACACAATCAAAATTTCTAACACTTGAAATAAATTTTAGACAAACTGTTCAGTGATTAGTTAAAGAAATCTGAAGAAAGGCACCTCTTTACCATTAAGTTATTATAAATACTAACCATACTATCATTAAGATATCTGAAGTAGTTTTCAAATTATAGTCCAGAAACAACACTCAGACTGCCAGGAGCTAATGATTACTGTATATCCCTAACAAATTTGTAGTGCCGGAGATAAAGACACAATCTGAATAATACACACCAAATTAAAGAGAATATCAAATAAAAAAATTACTTCCACAAGCATCCTTCAACATACCTGATCTTCTGTAATTTGCATGTACAGGAGAATATAATAGACAAGATCAGCAATACCCTGCTTAATAAGTTGCTTGTGCTTTGTCGTCTCCACCAGTGCATGTACAAACTCAAAAATAGTAAATACCAGGTTCTCAAAGCCAAGCACCTCCCCTGGAATATCAAGGAGAAGTTAGTACAGGTGTAATGGGAAAATTTGAGAAACTACAAAACCATTTAATATGTTTACAGAAGTACCATATGACATAATTACTGTACTAGAAACCTGCACATCGAGATTGGGGATTCTCGGGTAATTATATTTCAACATAAGTATTAATAGAATATTAACCTAATTGAACATACATAAGACCTGTAGCAAGACTGCAAATACATAATTTAGGAAGAATTAAATGGGTGGATTACAAAATACATCTTTCCAAGTGAATTTGTAATAATCAAAAATAGTAAAACTTGTTTTATAAATAGTGTACCAATATTTTTGTTTGCTGCAAATAAGTTGGACACAATATTAGCAACTAGACATAACATCACCTCAGTGGTGAGACTGTACACATATTTGAAGATGACAAATAGGTGAATTACTTATTACTGTACAGAATAGATTTATATAAATCCCTTACTGGTTTTCCAGTGGATTTGTACAATATTGGACAAAAATATTAACTTACACAATATATTAATATATCTGATTGATATAAACATGTTGAAGAAGATATTGAAATATCTACTGTAGGTATACATTACTGTAATACATTTTCTTGTACAGTATAATCATGTTGAATAAAAATAATGTTTACCTGTATTAGCTATAGTTTTAACTGTATAAAATGAAGTTTTTGCAAGGGAATATTGTACAGTACTGCATTTATGGTGATCAGCTGTATAGAGGGAGGTACAAGGTGTTAGATAAGGAGCAAAGCTAGAGTGTGTGAAGCATTGGCAGCACCCTTCCCATCCCCATAATATTATTCTGGATAACAAATATGATCTGTACAAAAAGGTAAACATTTCATTCTGGATAACCAGATATTTCTCCAGTAAAAACAGAGTTCACATTGGCTCTGCATGGACATAACAATGAAGGTATACAAACAATGGCAAGTACAGTAGAACCTCAATTAATTGGAATAACTGGGGCAGATTGCAGCCCCAAAAAAGTGAATCTGGGGGCATTTGTCTAGGTGCTCAAGTAGCCAAATTGGGACACCGTGCATCACTCAAAGGTAATAAATAACATTGTTAGGAAGGTATCTTCATATCATATACTATACTGTGTGTTATAGTGACCCTGTTCTAAGCAGGTTTGCTGAAAGCTCTCACACGAATGCATCCTGAGTTTAATACCTTCTAATATATAACTTACCCTTTTATTTTCAAGTCAAATCACAACTACATTATGCATTTTTTCTATTATTCAAGATGTTACACTAATCATACACCATAAGAGGCTGAGCATATGAGAATACAATACTGAATCAATAAATAAACCAGCTGAATGCGGTAACCCCCGATCAGCTCCTCCCCCGGCAACCCCCAGCGTCTTAGCTCTCGTTAGGCCTGCAGCAAATCTAATTAGACCATTGTACAGTATTCAGTGAGCAACTGTTGTTTTTTTCATAAATTTTCCTTTTTTTTATTTGGCCCATTTGTTAAAATATGTACTTACATAATTATAACTCATTTCTTCAAACCCTCTGGTATCCCCATTAAATATACTAGGTACTCTACAAAACAAGTTCACGTAAATGAGTGTAGGTAGCAAGATACGGCACACTGATACTACACAATGTGAAGGCAGGAGTCAGACCAAGTCTGAGGCAATGAAATACGTGCCACACAACACACGTTCAACCGCATGAACAAACACAGACCATCCGGACTGATGCTGAATGCCCTCCCCCCTTTTTAATATTTCTGGTGAATAGAGCACCTCAGAGTGAGAAAAAAGCAAGTTCCAATTTATAAAGGTTTTACTGTATGTGAATTTTAACATTACTGTACTTGGAGATGGATGGGGGTGGTTTAACCTTCGTTAACCCAGAATTTCTGCTCTTTCATTATAATAACTTAAGAATGTATCCTTCACATCATTTTAGGATTACTCACCATCAGAGTCTACTGGATCATCAGCATCCTCCCGAGCATTAACAGTGGTGTTGACATATGTATCTGCACTAGTGGTAAGGGTCTGCCACACAGGACCTAATACTTCCCCAAGGTACTGCCCCATCTGCTTTGGCACATTCTTCATTAGGACTGTCAGAGCTGTAAAAATATGAATAGGCCTACAATTAATTGTTATTTTTTGTCTTCACTTCCATAAGCCCACTTCCAATACAGTACAGTATAGCACTTGGCTATCATTCATTCTAATAAGAAGTGATATCATTAACTCTTTCATGAGTAAATACTGTATATACTCGTGTATAGTTCGAGTTTTTAAGACCAAATTTTTAGGCAAAAAATTGGGGGTCGTCCTATACATGTGTAATAGTTTTGTTAGGTTGAACCCGTGCATGATGGGAAGGGCGAGGAGCAACTTTTAGCTTCAGACATGAAAAATACTTACCATTTACTGCCAGTAAACAATGGAAACGTAAAATATGTACCAATCAGTAATGAAAAGTTGTGCAGTTCCTTCAGCAAATGAAGCTCACCAACTTACAATAGGCTAAATTACCTTACAACGTGCTTTCAGTAGTCTATATTGAAGTTCTTAGCACAGGCTAACTTATCATATCATATACGGTGTCACAGTTCTCATTGATCTACAAAATATACCGGTAATAAAAACCTTTTCGATATTTCACACTTAATATAATACCCGGTAATCTACTTCAACCTCCTATTGTTTACAACGATGCATGACGCACCACCAGCTGTTGTGTCTCAGCTAGACGGTACACGTGTTTTTTGAATCGTTTTCAGTTAAAAAACTGTTACATCACATGTATATTTTACCTTAACTGTGCCTGAATGAATATATTCTCGGAAATAAATAGTAGTTTTGCTGAAACGTGATGTATTTTAATGTAAAATAGGATAAAATACATGACGAAAACAAAAGATTTTACCTAACCTTTCAATGTTCAAGAGAAGTTACTCTATTTTTAATAGTTTTTGGTTAAAATACTGTTATATTACAATGGTATTCTATTCATACTGTGCTTAATATAATGCATTCACGGAAATGTAATATTTTTGCTGAAATGACGTTCGTATTACAGTGGAAAGTGGGATAAAATCGTGACGAAAACAATGACTTTCGCTTTCTTTCGTTCAAAAGATGTTACAGTAATCGCTTTTCGAATGGTTTTCAGTTAAAAGACTGTTGTATTACAATAATATTCTATCTTAATTGACTTGAATAAATACTACGATACCAATTTCTGAATATTTTCATTAAAATCCATCAAAATCATTTTCCTTGTCATCGTCTGCAGCACCAAACAGCTTCTCCCAGTCCTCTCCTTGAACAGGGCTAGAGGGTACGTGTTTTTCGAATCGTTTTCAGTTAAAAAACTGTTACATCACACGTATATTTTACCTAAACTGCGCCTGAATGAATATCTCGGAAATATATAGTAGTTTTGCTGAAACGTGATGTATTTCAATGTAAAATAGGATAAAATACATGACGAAAACAGACACAACACATTTTGGACAGTCTCAAACTTCCTCTAACCAAACTTAATCTAACCAAACCCAACCTAGCCTAAACAAACTTAACCTAACCCTATCTAGCCTAACAAACCTAACCTAACCCTAACTAGCCTAAACCAATCTAATCTAACCCAACCCAAACTAACATAAATAAACCTAACCTACAGCAAAAATTAACTTTGCTTATTTTGAAAACGTCCACAATGCACTGTAGCCAACTCTACTTCTGACATAAATGAATACATACTGTATTCAAAAGCAATTAATCTCTTTATAAGCATGCTTTAGGTACCAATACACTACAGCTCTTATATCCTACTACAACAAAAGAATTATCATGAAACTTTGTCTTACAGAAATTAATATAATATTGGGAGAGTAAAATGACTGAATGAAGCTCATAACTATTAAACTCTGAACCATGTTCCACACTCACAATACAACACATACAGTATTCTCAGCAGTGCAACACCTTCAAAGAAAATTTTGCGACTAAATACCTAAGATCACCTTCAACTATTATCAGTTCCAATTTAGAGAACATCCAGTACATACCACTTAGAATTTCTTTCTTCAAGCCAGAATCAGAAGTGAAACCATCAGGAGTCTGTAAACCTTTGACAAGTGCTTGTGTGAATGCTGGTAATGTGGGGTAGAGAAGAGTCTTGGCTAAACTTCTATTGTATTCTCCCATCATACAGATCAAGTTGGCGAGGGTACTGAAAATTTCTACAGCTCTGCCTCGAGTTCGAATCCCATATTTCTGTAAAGAAAGGTAGCCATTAGTAATACGCTTAAAGATACAACACCCAATAGCGATTATACACAAATATCAATAAACTAGATACCATATTTTCATTCTGAACCTTCTGATAATAATTCAGAGGTTCAAAGCCAACTTGCTAAAATCTAAAGGAATATATCTTTTATGCGATTTCATACAATTTGTGGGGTGCCCACCTCAGAAATAAACTGACAAACTGACCCTGGCTGACATAACCCTGTACTGTACATACAGGTATTACAAAGTCACTTGGAATGTCGTAAGTCAGAAATATTCACAAAATAGCTGAGCATCTTAGCATGTTTCAGCTTATCGGAACGGTCTTAATTTTCAATACTTAAAAACATTTTTATGGTGCAATGCCATAAAAGGTTAAACATCATTCTTCATCAACACCATTTTACATAATTACATGGGTTAGCCATGATTGCCTGATGACAGGGTCACAGGCTTACCATCATACAAATTTGAGGCGAGTTTTATGGATAGATGCCCTTCCTATTCCCAAACACTCTTACTGTCTAGTGAAAACAAATGACTAAATATCACAATACTGTTAATTTAATTTTAAATTCATAAATACACATTTCACAACTTTAAGAGAAAAATCAGTAATGATCCTCCCTCAAACTCTGAAATACTTCCACATCACTCCCGAGAAAAAAAAAGCATACCTCTTCCTCGCAAAAAATGCGATACATCTCTGGAAGGATGACTGGAGCAACCTGAGGAATGTGTTGATCTGTCAAATCCCTTGAGAATTCAGTTAGGACACGCATGGCTCCATGGACTGGCGCTTCCTCACCAGTTTTCAGAGCTCCCATTAACAAGTCAAACAGTCCACACCATTGGTCTGGCCAGTCCCAGTGAGCAATGGCTGATATTGCATAGGCTACGGATGATCTGTGAAAAATAATAATGAAATATCATATATAAGAAATATTTCATGAAGAACAAACTACAAGTCTAAATTTCTTATTTTCTAATATAAATGTACTGAAGTGGGAAAGCAGCTACTCTTAACTGTATTCCTAATCAACTTGTAAACTTTCTAAGCCAATACAATAGTTGAAATTTCTTTTCTCCCATTATTTACACAAGGGTACATACAGTATACTACATATTCTTCAAGTCAATTTCTTCATTATGATATAGGATATTCTTACTGACAAGCATCTTGTGAAGATAATTATTTTCTTTCTTTTTCACGTTTAGAAGGCTTTTACACTGGTGCAGAGTTGTCAGAAGCATGTGCAACACATTTCCCCCCTATCAGCTGATAAATCCTTTTTATTAAAAATGTCTAACAAACTGTACATATAGTAATCCTGGATAAAAAAAAAACAATACAATTCCCACCTGACTTTACTGATTGGTTCGTGTAAACCATGTGGAAGTAGTTCTCTAATCTTTGCTTTTGCATATTCTGGACATTCAGGTACACGAAACTGTAAAGCAAAAACAAACAATTGTCAACATGACTCTTATAATACATCTTCAAAATAATATACAAACAAATCTACAGAAAAATGCCAACTACATAATACTGTAACCCACCAAAAGAGCACCAAAGTTTAAATTACTGCAGAGACAATATCAATTTACAGTATAGTAAGTCCTCATTTAACGTTACCCGTCAACGTTGTTTCGTTATAATGTTGCTACTCTTTAGATACCAATGATTCGGACAACGTTCCGCCGATTCGGTATGTCATCACGGACTACTTTGTACGGCGCATAACCCACCCAGAGCGGAGGAGGAGCCTCCCGGTCTCAGTGACTCGCCACCCTCCTCCTCTCCACTACCAACCACTCTCTCGCTCCACCTCAGCCTATCAGTTAGTACAATACAAAACGATTTAGCTTACAGTATTTATCTTTTTGGGTGTTTAAATTTACTATCCCTACAACAAGGTGTTACCAGTAACACAGCATTTACTTCATAGGGTTCTCTGTGTTTACATTTATGACACCGATGATGGTGACATCTGTGAATACTAAAAGCATATGTATGTATAGTAGGTATTTATGTCCAGTATGTATGTATGAGATACATGCAAACATAGATGCTATAAATATGGCTATTTAACATACAGTATTAATACTGTATACTGAGAATTCTTTTTTTTTTTGGTATTTCATTAAATTTTTTGCATAAATGCTAACCCTAAAGGGGAAAAAGGAGATCTGTCATGCTAACCTTATCAGAGTCTGTGCACCAATGGGCTTCAACATATTGTTTAAGGAGTACAGAAGCCAGCTGTCGGATAGGTAAAGGGCCATTGCGGTCTAATGTGAGTTCTACCAGGTGTACACCAAATTCTGAAAAAAAGAAGTTTCCATCAATAATATGTGAAGTCCACAATTAAAGGTACAGTTAAGGCAATACACTAAATATGTATAACATAAAGCTAAGATAAAACTACAAAACCTTCTTATCAACCTATGGGACCTCATGAGTGACCTGTTAAGATTCAGCCATTAAAGACGGTAGAGTGCCATATCAACTGAACTGTTGGAAACGCCATCCATGAGGATAATGTATATACTGTACAGTACTGTTAGTAGGAGACCAAACAGTGTTTTCACCCCAACAAGATAACTTGAGCTGTATTTCCTGGTGGTTTCTGAAACAGTAAGGAGTCAGGTCAAGAGTTCTTACACATGGTTTCAACAGCATCCCAAATTCTCAGTGCACTTGAATAAAGGTATTGCCTTCATCCATACTCATGTTTCTGCCATTGTATCAAAAGGTCATTTGTCCAGCTTTCATGGTTAATAATTCTGATGTCAAGTTTTACTTTTACACTTTAATTCAACTAATATTTTCTACCCTGTGGGCTTGCATAAGGAAGGGCATTCAACCACAAAACTTAGCTTCAATGTGCCTAACGGAACCGAGTCACCACGGCTGTGCGCATCCCCTGGTCTCTGTTGCATTTTCTAGGCTAGCGCCCTGGATTTGTAAGGGTAATTGGGAAGGGGGGATCCCATTTTGGTTTTACTAACAGCTGCCATCAAGTATTTGTGGCTAACCCTTCCAAGTGTGGAAAATGGCAGTATAATAATGGTGATCTTGATAATTTACTTCAGTGTATGCCACAATCTGTATTAGTGTGTGTTTTCTGCTGATATGTGGCCACTCAACATGTAACACAAGTACAGTATACTACTGGCTGCCAAAAGTGGGACTGCATTCTCCAGTGATACAGAGCTTGCTAGCTTCCATGCACAACAATACCTCAGCCCTTCATCATCATCATAATCAATGTCATATGGCCATTTTCCACACCTGTGCGGGTTAGTCACAATTTAATGATTATAGCAGTTGGGTAAAACCAAAAGAAGGTGCCCCCCCCACTACCCCAAACATAGGGCACCAGCCCAGAAAATGCAAGAGACCAGGTGATAGCTATAGCTCTGGTGATCCAGTTTCCATTAGGCATGTTGAAGCAACGTTTTACGGCCGAATGCCTTTCCTAACACCAATCTACAGGCGAGTTCACAAATCCCCTGAGGTAATCAAAGTCTACCCACCTATGGTACTCTAGTGTATATTCAAATGGAAGGAAATGTACATTATATTGGCTGTCTCCTGGGCAGAGGATCACCATACTGTATATAACAGTAGTTTCAGTCTTCACATTAGTGTATATCTCAATTTACCTGGTTAGCACCAGATATTATGGAATTGCACCCAAATTTCTGATGATGCTACAGCATTTGCATGATACTAAATACGAAAACAGAAACAATGCACAGAACCTGACCTAACCTATGCATTGCCATTTCGATTTTCTTACTACTGTATCATCAAAATCTCCTAAAAAAAATAAAGATAAATAAACCCAATATAAATCATCATAAATACGCCCAATGACAACGTAATTCATTTCTTGACATCCAAGCAAAGTCTGCTTACGCTCCTGTATAGCAGATGATGTGAACCAAAATTTGGTCACTACAGATCCAACAGTGCCATAATTACATTAAATAATTGAATTATTCGCTTACGATGGTTTGCACCCAAACACCTTTTTTTTCTTCATATTTTCCAAAGTTGTTCTTTGATGATACTGAGTACAGTATTAAATCATGAGAATAGTAGTACAGTATTTTCTTTGTCTATACTTCAATCTTAAATTACTTGTTAGTAGCAGGGCATGAAAGAAGAGGCAAATAACGGGGTAAAACACTGCCGTAATTTCAAGTCTGTGATTTGTGGTAATTATTGATGACTGACAGGCCGCTGATTTTTCATAGAAAACAATATTAAAAACGCCACAATTTCACTATGTTTTGTAGTGGTCGTAGTTTTGGTAAATGTGTTAAATGGAGGTAATTTCTAATTAAACCAAACCTAACCTTAATTGATAAGAAAAACAAGTGGTATTAGTGTTGCGAGAAGACCTCACCAACATAACCAAAGAAACCTACCTAGCCCTACCTAACTTCCTAGCCGTGGGGCTCAGCCTCCCAGGGTGTACCTCCAACTCGGCCCACCGTTAGCCAATTCGGCCCATTTTAAATAACAACTGGGCCCACACATTACTAACTCGGCCCACCTTGCACACTTCAAACAAGTAGTTTAAGATTTGCTTTGTCTCTTTTGGTTCACTGAAATATGAAGTGTGAATGAGTGAATACCATGATTCACATATGTAACAAAGGAGTTTCCTGTCTGTTTATAAAGTGTAAAGGGCAAAGTCACTTAATGTTGGTACAGTATTAGATTACAGGATCAGTCACACTCTGAGTCCTGACCATGACTGACCAATGCTTGGTATGCAGGGCTCACCTTGCACACATCAAACAAGTAGGTGACTAGAGATTCAGGAATGACATCTGGACCCCATATGCTTGGAGTGTATTTAAAAGGAGTGTCCGCACATGTAATGACTGTGAAGGGTGGCATAATCGCCTTAACATGAAAGCAAGAAAAGGACAACTTAATTTCTATCTGTTAATCAAGCTACTCCATAATGAAGCAAAACCAGTGACACTCCAGGTGCAGCTCTTGTCCAACGGTAAAGTGCTACGAAAACAATGGGCCAAGTATATACATCACTAAGGTCAGCTTTTCAAACTGTGGGACAAATTCAGTAGTGGATAAAGATCTGCCAAAAATTTGCTACAAGTGGTTTCACATCACGTGACTATTTATCAGTAATGTTTGTACTTTTATGCTGCTTTTTATCATCCATGCAAAAATAAATGTGTAAAATGTATTCGTTAACCTAAGTGGTCTGAGTTGGTTATCCGAGATGGTCCGAGTAGGATGTGGGCCGAGTTGGCGATGGGTCGAGTTAGACTGTATTCCTCCCCAGACCTCCGGCATATTAATCAGAAAGAGCTTACGGTGATATGGTGTAATTTTACATTTTTTTGTGGACGTGGGAGCAACATCGCTAAAGCTGCATCCCGAATGCTGGGAATGCTGTACAAATGCCGTAGCTACTTCACTCCTGAGCAGTTGCTTCAAGTATATAAGGGATTCATTCATCCTAACTTGGAGTACTGCTCTCATATCTGGGGTGGCTCTTCTTCTGCCCAACTGTTAGATAGGGTGGAATCAAAGGCATTTCATCTTATTAATTCTCCTCCTTTGGTTGATGACCTTTCTTCCATTTCTCTTCACTGCAATGTTGCTTCACTCTCTCTTTTACAGGTACTTTAACGGGCAATGTTCGGTGGATTTGGCATCCTGTGTAACGCCAGCAAGGCCGTGAGGTCGTAACACTTATCTTGCCCACATTACCCACCGTTTCTCTGTGGATGTCCGTCACACTAGAATAACCCGTTATAGTACATCCTTTTTTCCTCACACAGCCAAACTGTGGGTTGACCTGCCTTCTCTGTGTTTCCATACTCATACAATCTGTCTCTTTGAAAAGCTGGTTTTCCAGCATCTTCATTGTGTAGATTAATATAATATTTTTATTTTTTATTTATTTTTACTCTTATTTTTTGGTAGCCTAGGCCCCGTTATGGGTCAATGACCTGTACCCAGGTGGGCTATTCCCCGTAAAAAAATAAAATAAAAATAAAATAAAAAAAGGCCCAGACGGTGTGGCTCATAGACATACATTGGCGTTGATCACAGCATCAATATAATTGGCCATTCACATATTGCCACATGACCGTCAAGAAGACAACGTAGTGCGTGCCTAATTATCTACCAAACTTACTGATAAAAATATAGTAAGAAAATAATCAAAACAAATAATGCATCAGCGGGTTAGTCATCAATATTAGCCCCCAAATCTGATGTTATAAGTAAAGTTTTCAAGTGCTAAAACAATTCTTATAACTGTCTTTAAGGTAAATATGTTGTCAGTTCAGTATCATTTGGCAAAGCTTTTCTGGAATGTCACAAAATAATTTACTTGCATACATGTTAATAATTGGAAGTCCAATCACAGCTAGTTTAAAGTGTTAGACTACCAGGAGAGGAAAAAGCCAATGAAATACCCAATGATTCACATAACTCAAATGGCTATTGGTCATGTAACCACGATTAACAGTTACCATTTACTTCCTTCGCTACCATTTATTATTACAATTATGACTGGTGCCTTCGTCTCACTAATGTCACTTCAAACTTTCATGGAAATAAAATCATGTGAATTTTTAGTATTAAATCTGAACATTCTTAAAACACACCAAGCAGTCTTAGCTCGTTAACTGATTTATTGTACACGATAAAATTCAAAACTGACATATCTGCAAAAAAAATTCATTGTCATATCAACAAGAGGACGAAAAGGGAAATTAAATGTGTTGAAAGGGTGGCGTTGACAACCTGGTGCAGACCATTGTCAAAACAACCTCTTAATACACCCCTCCTGGCGCTTAACCTCACCTTCTGTTACTTCTAAAACGTGAATTTGTTCCTCAGCTGCTCTACGGACATCTGCTTGGGGTGATAAAATGTTGTTTAAGTTTTCTATGAGCGCCTCTCTCAGGCCGTTGTTCACCTCGACACCGGCCATGATTCCTCGAGTCAGACATCACAACATTGGTCGGCCATTCCCGCGTTTTTAAAACAATGAACATCACGAAGCGCAAGTTATTTTTGCCTTCATAAAGCCTCTGTTATAAGTAACTAAGTTCATAAACTCTACTACATATTCTTAAGTAAATCTACAGTAATATTTCGAGGGTTTAATGTGAATAGGGACTATTATTATCGCATAAACACATAATCTAAGACTGATTATATGTGGCGGGATAAGCATGGAATTTTAAACGTGTTGCTACTGTATACTATTAAAAATAACTTTTCCTTTATTACATATATTTTAATCTATTGTTTGAAGCATGCATTATTACTTTTGTTTGTCAACTTACGCTTGTAAAATTAGATAGCGTTTATTTACTCACTGCAGCTTTTCTTTATCCAGACTAGCTTCATTCATTTTTAAAGTCGAAATATTTAAAGACAGTCAAATGCCGTTTCATAACTTTGATTTTATCCTTCTGTCACAAAATTTAGCGTACTTAAACATACATAAATAAAGTATGAGCTTAGATCCACGAGCTCCTACCTGTCCCATTCTGGCGCCGGGATTGTTAAAAGGCCTCCATCCGGCCAGCACACAGGTGTAACAATAGCCATTAACATCACACGAGAAGTAATTGCACCTGCCAAATCTAACTAATTTGGCCGGTAAGGTCGTGAGTTCTTATGTATATGTAAAAACACTGGGCAGAACAAGATGCCATGTTCACTACAGAGCCCTGAATATGCTGTATCATATAAGGCTGTAGTATGGACTAATATCATAGAATCAGGAGTAAATACACAGGCTTAGCGTACTTTTCAAGAACATAGAAGTGTAAAGATGTGTTTTGGTGGAAGTGTACCCATGAGTGTATTTTTTTTAATTGGGCAGTACTATTATAGCTTGACTTTAAACTTTTATTACAAATTATATATACTGTATCACTCTACGGACGTGGAAGAGTGTATTCTTGTGTTTACCCAGAACCGTCAACTAGTCCATTGTTAGTGAGAAAGCAGTTGAAAAAACGCTTCAGAAAAAGTTTAAGTGGGAAAGGGTGAGAGAACAGTTCAATAAAATTAACAAGCGATCCATGGATCCAAGGACCTGAAACACAAGACTAAAAACAGTAAGGGCAGACCACTATAACTTATAAACTTTAGCTCTACCCCATTCAATGACAGATGGTGACGGCCTTGCTTTGGTTGACGTTTAACTTTTTTGAGAACCCTCGTAAGGCTAAGGCTTTTCTGTGGTCAGGTATAACAAGGAGACACGTGAGGGATATGATGCAGCATGAAGAAGCAACTTTACTGAAGTCACGGCAATACAACTTCTCGGTGTGTATTGTGGATGCATGGAACAGCTTACTTGAGCAAGTGGTCACATTCCCAAAACGTGTTAACCTTCCAGAGAAGGCTGGATAAACTTTGGACAGGTCAACGTGGTGCGCACATTTGCATAGCCCCTGAGTTACAATATATACCCAGTATTATCCCACAGCTATATGAAGATCTACAATAGACCTAACAGCTATTTAATGTAGTACTAGACAACAAGGTACCAGATAACCTCAACCGCATCATCCTAGGAAGTTACAGAAAATGGATGGAGGGGAGCCTGATGCAATTAACATGTGGTCCTGTGTTGCAAACAATATAATGGTGACAAAACTTTTTATCGTGCTAGATTTATTCCCCTAAGAATAAAATAGTAGATTTTATAATTAATCAGTCAGTGTAGCGTCCTCATATCTAAAGGTTGGCAACAAGCCCCCCCACCCTAAACGTTCTCGGGCTGTTTTTATTAATCCTCAACGTGGGACCCAGTTTTTAATTTCATTCATCCATCCTAGTCTCTGCCTTCTCTTGGCCCTCCTACCCTCAACTTTGTCCATTAATATTTGTTATTATTCCCTCATCCCTAATTATATGACCAAAGTATCTCTTTTTTTCCTGTACATTTCATGTATTTCTCATGAAAGTTTTTGCTAACCTTAGTACTTCTTCATTTGGTTTCTTGTCAGTGTAGCTTATTCTTAGCATTCGCCTAAAACACCACATTTCAACATTTTATAATACGGCAGTCTAATTCAACAGACCATTTGACCGAGTAAATAGATCTGGGGCCTAAGAGAACTGAGGCTTATTAGAACTAGACCCCAGTTTTCATGGTTACGTTGGGACCTTTTGGAACTTAGGCCCTTTTGAAAATTACTGTTCACTACTTTCATGGGCTATCCTTTACTGAATCGACATACTGAATGTCATTATCTAACTGCAGTGTCTATTTACCTACTGAACCGTTGTGAATTTGTATGACGATTTTGCTGTATCATTAGCTATCTATCTATCTATCTATCTATCTATCTTTGACATTTATCCGGCAAACGTCTAGTGTAGGATATTGATACCACTTTTACAGGTGGTGCGGTTGAGTGGGTAAAACGTTGTTGCAGGTGTCAGTAATTTGATCCCCGAGCACTCCCATTTCACCCAGTTGTAAATGGGTGCCTACAGCATGTTAACAACTTGAGGAAGTAAATGCGGTAAAGTGCAGTATCGGCCATGCTGCCTCCTTGTGTACCAAAGGCTTAGTATACAGTGTGTTTTATCCACACTGTCCCCAGCGAGCAGTCATGCCTATGAGACCCACTTTCACTTTCCACTACTACTACTACTTTTTTTTACTACTACTACTACTACTACTACTACTACTACTACTACTACTACTACTAATAATAATAATAATAATAATAATAATAATAATAATAATAATAATATTATTATTATTATTATTATGAGAGCCTGGACGTTCAGACAAAATGCCATATATAGTATACCTATTTTCGCAAAATCAATATAAAATTGGCTATTTCTCGTTCATTTGTATATCATTCCGCGATAAGGAAAACTCCTACGTGTTTGTTTAATTAGTATTTTGCTGTGTTTAAATAAAATAAAATAAATTGCTCCTCTCCACTTAACGTCGATACCGAATATTTCTTCCGCCACCGTTGTGGCAGGTACAGCATGTGTGTATTATACCAAGACTGTACAGTGCAAGTGAATATATCCCAGCACGGCGCTTCGTCCGTACTGTTTGTGTCAATAAAGTACTTAGTTCACTTTCAAACACTGCTGGACACATTTCATCTACAATGCCTAAACTGAGTGCTTCTTCAAAACTTAACAGTTAAATTCATGCGTTTGGTAGCAATGTGTTGACTACAGATGGGGCAGTATTATTTTGCAAAATGTGCGAAAAATCAGTGAACAACGAGAAAAAGAAATTTGTTGATCAATATTTAGAAATTATTAAGCACAAAGGTGCCACGCTGCTCACAAAACTGGTCAACAAAGTACTATACTTCATAATATACTACAGCTTCCGGCCAGTAATCTCAATTTTGTTGATGCCGATATTCTTCTATGGAAACTGCAATATGTCTGAAATATTTTTTTGGCAAATACCCCAAGGAGAATATAATAAATTATTAACTTAGGCTACATTACGTAAGTGTTGTGAGGAAACCTGTAAATGCTGTTTTTTTCCTGTTTTTTCTCTAAGATGCAGCAGTTTCAATTGAGAAAGTTAATAAAAAAAATTATTTTTACAATAAATTGATTTGCTAACAGTTATTTATTTTACTTATAGTATTGCAATATTATGAATAAAAACTGCATAATAATTTAACCGCTTCACTGCAAAAACGCCTTTTAATATATTATTTTGCTGACGCCAGACGATTTTATTCAGCACAGCAAGGGCCCCGTACTCAAGTGGTTAATGCCTTTGTCGGCGTTATGTTGTCTGGTTTTGCCATTTTCGGCTGTTTGTCTTACCTACTGTATTTGCTTACCCTTCTTTTTAAGGTTTTAAGAGCCTAAACATCCGGGCTCTAGTAATAATAATAATACCTTGGAGAAATCAGACCAATGTCGTAATCAAAGCTACTCACCAAGGCGTCTCCTTGCCAGAGACTGAAGATGTCTGAAAGAGGATGATTTGAACTAATAGAGGTTATAATGAGGCAGGAAAAACACTGAGTCAGGGAGTTCCATTGAGTGCTTGTCAGGAGTGCAAATGAGCTTTGGTAGGCCTCTGAAATCAGGGGCGGGGCCAAGATTTTATTTTATTTTTTTCGTGAAGGGGAAGGGGAGAGGGTGTTTTAATTGCCAATCTTCCATCACCAAATCCCTTCAATAAGGATAAGTAAGGGTCAGGAAAATAAGCATTAATTGGCATTTTGTTCCATTGAAACACGCATTTATCAGGTGGTGGCAAAACCTTAGTGTTGTCATATGAGGATGTGGTCTGATTATTCTCCATCTCATGACAGTGCCTCCTCTCTCTCCTCTTCCCTTGTGCAGGATCCGCCACTGACAGGACCTGATAATTTCTCCATTAACTGCACACATATGTGAAGAAGCACTCACTATTTATCTATAACGTGATAACGTGATAACCGCTAAATAAAACTGGGTTCTTTATTAATACAATCAAACATTCAATGGCCAACCACTCCATCTGCTGACGTCATGAGATGGCGAGGCCAGGGGAGCACTTACCAGATTCACAGAGATTCCAGGTCAGATGGGCCCCAGTCCTAACAAGCCCCAACCAACCTAACCTAACCTGACTTCGCCTTAAAATTAGGACCAGCGTTTTTTAGGGCTGGGGATAAATAAGATTAGTGTCCACGAGGACAGGTGTTCATTAAAATGCGGGCCCATTAGGAGGACCCTAATTTTAATAGTAAAGTTAGGTCACGTAAGCAGCCATTAATGGGTCCATTGGGGCAGAGCCCAATCACTAATGGGTAACTGATATAAGGCTAGATTAGCTTAGGATAGGTTAAGTATGGTTAGGCCAGGTTAGGTTACTTTATGTAAATTTAGGTTAAGTTAGCATAGCTTAGATCAGGTTAGGTTAGCTTAGGTTACCTAAAGTTAAGTTTGGCTAGGTAAGATTAGGTTAACTAAGGTTGTGTAAGTTTGGTTACGT